CTCCTCCTCCTCCTCCTCCTAACACAAAAAGTCTCCCCCATTCTCTTCGTCATTTTGCACGCATGCATTTAACTAATTTCTATGGCTTTTCAATCTCATAATCAGGTCTGGGCAGCTAGCGAAGACATTAAAAAACAAAAAAATCCAAATTAAATCAAATTAAATTAAGTGTCCCGGACGATGCGCCAAGAGCCCCCCCCCAGGACGAGAGAACGTCTCCCATTCCAGGCATACAGGATGAGCTCTCCTGTCCTCCTGGCTCCGTTTCTGGACAAAATGTTCTGATTTCTCCCTTTTAGGATGATTGTTCCCCTGGCAGGGGTCCAGTCCTTGGCTGGGGAGACCCGGAGGTGGGGGGGGACCCTCTTTCTCCAGACGCTGCCGTGCCAAAGGAACACCCAGCAAAGCAGAAAAGGTGCCCAGCTTCAACTGACGGTCACGGCTGCCATCTTGAGTCCCCCCCCGCATGGTGGCAGATGCAGGGAGGTGGTCAAAAAAGGCAAGATGGCAGCCGCAAGCCCTGCGGGTTTTTTAATCAAGTGGGCTTCCCTCCGTGTAGGCCAGGGGTAGGCAACCTTGGCTCTTTTACGACTGGTGGACTTCAACTCCCAGAATTCCTGAGCCAGCCACGCTGAGGGGAAAGGGAGAGTTTCCAAGCTGAGCCGTGCTGGCTCAGGAATTCTGGGAGTTGAAGTCCATGAGTCATGAGGGGGCCATAGTTCCCCCATGCTGGCTCAGGAATTCTGGGAGTTGAAGTCCGCGAGTCATAAAAGAGCCAAGGTTGCCTAGCCCTATCCTAAGTCCTCCTGCTCTAAGTGGTGAGCCTCCTAGGCCAGGGGTAGGTAACCTGGGCTCTTTTATGACTCATGGACTTCAACTCCCAGAATTCCTGAGCCAGCCACGCTGAGGGGGAAGGGAGAGCTTTCCAAGCTGAGCCATGCCGTCTCAGGAATTCTGGGAGTTGAAGTCCACCAGTCATGAAAGAGCCAAGGTGGCTACCCCTGGTGTAAGCGCTGCCTTGACCCAGGTGAAGAAAGGCAAATTTCAAAGAAAAGTTCAAATCTCACCCCGTGCATCACACAGGGGGTCCCCGATTTACAACTATTCATTTAGCGACCTTTCAAAGTTACATCACTGAAAAAAGGTGACTTGTGACCATTTTTCACACTTATGACCATTGCAGCATCCCCAGGGTCACGTGATCAAAATTCCTACGCTTGGCCACTGACTTGTATTTATGACGGTTGCAGCGTCCTGGGGTGGGGGGTCACATGATCCCCAAGCAAAGTCAAGGGGGAAGCCAGTTTCATTTAACAACCATGTTAGTAACTTAAAAAGTGTAGCGATTCACTTAACAACGGTCGTAAGGATGGTTGTAAAATGAGGCAAAACTCTCGCTTAGCAACATAAATTTGTGCTCCGTTGTTTGTGTGCCACTATCCCCGTTCTCCTGCCCTCTAGATCTGTGGGTTGACAATATCCACAATCCTCAGATGATGCCAGATGGGCATGATGGGTTTTGTAGTTCAGAGACCTGGAAGGTCTCGGACTCAGAAGGGCCAACGTAAAACACCATATAGGCAAGTCCTCAACTTACAGCCACGATTTCCATTGCTACGCGAAGTGGTCGCTAAGCGAGTCGCACCCAATTTTACCATCTTCTTTTTTTGCCTCGGTCGTTAAGCGAAGCACTGCCGTTGTTTTAAGTGAATCGCGGATGACTTTGCTTGTCCAAAGTCAGCCGGGAAGGGACACTGGAGTTTTTGCAAATCCGTGCCGGTTGCCAAGCAGCCGAGTTTTGACCACGCGTGGATGCCGCGACGGTCATAAGTGCGAGGACTTGCGTCAGCTCACTTTTGTCAGAGCTGTTGTCGTAACTCTGAACAGTTGCTAAACAAAAGGCCGTAAACTGAGGTCTGCCTTCAATGGAACCCGTACCCTGGGCTCGGTGAGGATGGGGGCGCCCCCCTGCCCTGCCCCATTTGCCCCCCTGTCTCTGAGCTCACCTGGCTGAACTGCTGGTAGGAGGGGTCTCCTGGCTGGGGCCGGTTGACCACGGCATCCAGGAGAATCTGGCCCGTCACTGGTGGGCACAAGCGGACCGAGACCAGCTTGGTCAGCTGTTGCTGGACAGCCGGGTCCATATTAATCACCTCCATGTAGCCTCCACGGAAACCACACCTGGCAAGGTAAGAGAAGAGGCGGGTCTTAGAGGCAGGTCCTGCCCTTCCCTGTCCCACCAGCAGGGGACGACAGAGTCAAAGAGGAAAGCCTAAGGTGCTTTTTCCAAAAGGAAAATGGACTTTTTAAAGTTTTTTTTGTTTCTTCGAAAGCTTTTCACTTCTAATCCAAGAAGCTTCTTCAATTCTAACCGAAGAAACCTCTTGGATGTTAGAACTGGAGAAGCTTCTTGGATGAGAAGTGAAACGTCTTCAAAGACGTTTGTCTGAAATGGTCTAGGGTTTCCTGCCTGAGCAGGGGGTTGGACTAGATGACCTCCAAGATCCCTTCCAACTTTTTTATTATTATTATTATTATTATTATTATTATTATTATTATTATTATTGTTGTTGTTGTTGTTGTTGTTGTTGTTTTGTTGTTGTTGTTGTTGTTGTTGTTGTTATTATTATTATTATTATTATTATTATTATTATTATTATTATTATTATTATTATTATTATTATTATTATTATTATTATTATTTCCAGTTGCTTCCTGAAAAAGCACCTTTGGGATAACTATGACCTGGATGAGGGGGAATCTCCACAGACACTGGACTTTCTTGGTTGTTTTTTTTCCTTTGAAAATTTTTCGCTTCTCATCCAAGAAGCTTCATTACTTCTAACATCCAAGAGGTTTCTGCGGTTAGAACTGAAGAAGCTGCTTGGGTGGGAAGCAAAATGTTTTTAAAGAAAAAGCAAGAACGTCCACTTATCTTTTGCCCAACTGTCAGGCGATGGCTATTCTCACTGAAGAAGCTTCTGAGATGCTAGAACTGGAGAAGCTTCCTGGATGAGAAGCAAAAAGTTTTCACAGGGGAGAAAAAAACCCCAAGAAAGTCCAGTTGCCTTTTGGAAAAAGCCCTTTTGGGACAACCACGATTGGGATGACGGAAAATTTCCAGAGACCCCAAGAAGGAAAAAATTCAGAGAAGAGCAACTAAGAGGATCCAAGGCCTGGAGGCTAAAACATATGAAGAATGGCTGAAGGACTTGGGTTTGGCTAGTCTAGAGAAAAGAAGGAACAGGGGAGACAGGATACTAGCGTTCCAGTATCTGAGGGGCTGCCACAAGGCGGGGGGGAGGGTCATGTTATTCTCCAAAGCCCCTGAGGGCAGGACAAGAAACAGTGGATGGAAACTAATCAAAGAGAAAAGCAACCTGGAATTAAGGAGAAACTTCCTAACAAGACAACAAGTGGAACAGCTTGCCACCAGAAATCGTGAGTGCTCCATCACTGGAAGTTTTTAAAAAGACACTGGACAATCACCTGTCTCAGATGGTATAGGTTCTCCTGCTTGAGCAGGGTGCTAGACTAGAAGACCTCCAAGGTCCCTTCCAGCTTCTCTTCTCTTCTCTTCTCTTCTCTTCTCTTCTCTTCTCTTCTATTCTATTCTATTCTATTCTATTATTCCATTCTATTATTCCATTCCATATTCTATTCTATTCTATTCTATTCTATTCTATTCTATTCTATTCTATTCTATTCTATTCTATATTCTATTCTATTCTATTACATTACATTACATTCCCTATTCTATTCTATTCCATTCCATTCCATTCCATTCCATTCCATTCCATTCCATATTTTCTATTCTATTCTATTCTATTCTATTCTATTCTATTCTATTCTATTCTATTCTATTCTATTCTATTCTATATTCTATTCTATTCTATTACATTACATTACATTCCCTATTCTATTCTATTCCATTCCATTCCATTCCATTCCATTCCATNATTCTATTCTATTCTATTCTATTCTATTCTATTTCATTCCATATTTTCTATTCTATTCTATTCTATTCCTTATTCTATTCTATTCTATTCTATTCCATTCCATATTTTCTATTCTATTCTATTCTATTCTATTCTATTCTATTCTATTCTATTCTATTCTATTCTATTCTATTCTATTCTATTCTATTCTATTCCATTCCACTCCACTCCACTCCACTCCACTCCATTCTACCCTACTCTATCCTACCCTATCCTACCCTACCCTACCCTATCCCATCCCATCCCATCCCATCCTATCCCATCCTGGCAAGCCTACGCAGCCCGTGCTACTCACTCGCCCATGAAGCCCTTGGAGATGGAGTGGAAGGAGGCCAGCTCCAGGCTCTCAGAATACTTGGGGCCCATCTCAAAAAGAACCTTCTTGAAGGAGTGGAACTTGGAGCCCTCGGCGTAGACGTTGTCCTGGTAGACCTGGTGGGGGGAAAAAACCAGGTGGCTGGGAGGCAGCGGGGAAAACCCAGCTGGGCAGGGGAAATGTGAACCCACTTAAGGTCCTGCGCTTTCTTCCAGATGTTTTTGATGACAGTTCTCCTCATCCCTGACCATGCAGATTGGATCTGGCGGGTCCCCAACCTCTGCAGGGCACCACATTCACGAAGGCGTGAGCCAGGATAGAGGGCCAGGAGCACGGGTGATGCGCCTTCTATTGCCTCCAGGGCCCCACCCTGCAAAGGGAAGCGTTGGGGGGGCGAACAGTTTTGGGGGGACAGGAGAGAATTCCAAGACTGTACCTCATCAGCCATGAGGAAGAGATGCTCTTCCCAAGCAAAGCGGATGACCTCTTCGATGCATTGGCGGCTTTGGACCTGACCTGCAGAGAGAGAGAGAGGAGGGGGGGGAAGAGGTTCACTGAAGGAAGCCCTCTCAGAGAAGGACCCCGGGGCTGGGAACAAGCCCCCAGGCCCCGGGGAGCGGAGAAGGGAAACGACTCCCCCCCCCAATCAGTCTCTGCCGAGGGGTCAGCTTCATGGTCAAGCTGAGTCTTCCGAAGAAAGGCCTCTTCCCACAGAAGGAGGGGATCTGTGGCAGAGGGCTGAAGGGCTGAAGCCCCTGGTGCTCTTGCGTGGGTTGCTTTCTAGGTAACATCATCAAGGCTAGAAGGTGGTGGAGTTTGCAGGGAGGAGGAGGAGGAGGAGGAGGAGGAGGAGGAGGAAGAGGAATAAGTCAAGGACTACCTGTAACTAGGTTAGTGTGGTGGAAAATCTAGCTTGTAAGACCCCCTTCTCGCCATCCCAGCACAGCCTCATGACTAATAATAATAATAATAATAATAATAATAATAATAATAATAATAATAATATAATAATAATAATAATAATAATAATAATAATAATAATAATAATAATAATAATAATAATAATAATAATAATAATAATAATAATAAAGTTGGAAGGGACCTTGGAGGTCATCCAGTCCAACCCCCTGCTCAGGCAGGAAACCCTATACCAT